GGGGGGGTGTCTTTGGCCAGAGGTGGTGGCAGTGGTGAGCAGCTGAAGGGCACTCGGGAGCGTCTTAGGTTGGGGGACGACTTATTGGTGTGGAAAGGAAAGGGGGGGGCAGGCCCGACTCCTAGGGAAGAGGAGGGGCTGGGCCAGGACTGGGGGCTCTAGGCTGGGCAGGAGTGAGAGTGAGGCAGGGAAGAAAGATGCAAGACAGAGAAGCGCCCTGCACCGGGCTGGGGGCAGTGCTCTGAAGCTGTCTGTCCGTCTGTCCTCCCCCCGCAATCACTGCTGCTTCTCTGACCTTCGGGGCCGGAACCTCCGTGGGCCCGTCGCCTTCCTCGTGGCCACGGCTGCCGTGAAGCCCACCAGGCAGCACAGGGACATAGTGCTGAACTTGAGTGTGTCCAGCCAGCTGGGTGTGGCAGCCTGCAGGTACTGCTCGGCCAGGTGCAGCCCCAGCAGCAGGGCCCACAGACCGGTGGCGAAGGCATCAATCCTCCGGAGCCTGAGGGAGAAGCAGGGGGCGGGGGTTGTGTGAGGGCCCGTCTCGAGGGGACAAGTCCCGTCATCAACTGCCACTTCCTGCCTCCTTCATCCACCCAATCCTGCTCAGAGGACAGAATCTACAGCCAAGAGGAGCAAGTGGGCCTCTCAATCCGCCTCCAACACGTACACCCTGCATAACTCTGAGCAGGTTAGTGTTTCTCCTGAGCTCAGTGTTCTAGCCTGAAAAATGGGGCTAAGAACCCTCCTCCCCCAAGTCACTGAGATGACGTGGATACCATTTGGATCAGGGTATGTAGCTGCACAGGGAGGAAAGTCAAGGGCCATGAGAACCCACTAGGCTCTCCAATAGCCCATAAGGTGGCTGGTTAACAGAAGTTTGAGGTGGAGAGAAAAGAGGCAATTTGTGATTTGGCCTTGGAGGTCCCAGCACGCAGCAGTGAGTAGGGGGTCTGCTCTGAGTGCCACTGCCCCCTCTAAGGCAAGTCATTTGCTTTATCTCACCCACCGGACTCCCAGCTGCTGGGAAAAGGGATGCATCGTGTTTCAGTTACAGCTACATGTGGAACTCAGTCCAGGGCTGTGCATCCAGTAGGCCCTCCTGGTGCCGGCCCTAGCACTCCCCCCGCCCCCCAGCCCTGCCTGAAGTAATCACAGTGACCCAGGGTAGACCTGCCAGGCCCCACACGCACCTGATGCGGCCAGCCAGCAGCATGGCCAACAGGCAGGTTAGCAGGCCCAGCACCACGACACCCGTCTGGTGGCTCCGCCCAAAGGCCCAGGCCTCCTGAAGCTTCTCTGCCACATGCTCCGGTAGTAGGCCCAGCAGCTGCTGCCAGCCCTCAGCCCCAGGGGCAGTGCCATTGTCAGGAGCAGCTGAGCCGTTGCCACCAGGGGGCAAAGCTGGGGGCAGGTTGAGCCCTGGGGCAAAGGGGTCACTGGTGCCATACAGCGTGGTGGCCAGCAGGAAGATACAGGCCAGGAAGGCGAGGGTGCGGAGCACGATGACCTGAACTGGGGCCTTCACCGCGGATGAGCAGAAGCTCTGAGGGAGGGAGAGACTGGTCAGTGAGATGGCAAGAGTCACTGACAGCCATTGCCAGTGCCCACTCTGTGCTCGGGGGTCTGGCCAGGGCCCCAGAGCACTCGCTTAAGAACCTACCTGGGTCCTCATAATCAGAGATGCTGTCTACAGTGCCTGAAAACCTCAGGCATTCTCAGCTCTCTCTAGGCTTATTGCTGAGAACCACTGAACTGTCCCATTGCTGAGTCTTCACCCCACTGGGAAAGTTACTGTGGGGGAGGGGTCTACCACACCTTCCCCCCCTCCTTCTTAATATTTTTATTGATTTTTAGAAAGGGAGGAGAGACAGAGAGAGAAACATCTACATGAGAGTGGAACATGGATGGATCAGCTGCCTCCCACATGCCCCCACTGGGGAGAGCCCACAACCCGGACACATGCCCTGACTGGGAATCGAACTGGCAGCCTTTTGGTGCACAGATGATGCCCAACCCACTGTCCCACACCAGCCAGGGCTGCCATGTACTTTAAAGAAACCTTTTTGATATTATGGTGACCTTACTCTTTCAAGTAAATGTTCAATGACTTTGCCGAATGCACTGTAAATTTATACTGTGATTTCAACTGAAATTATAGTAAAAAATGTATACACACTTTAACAGCTGGTAACTTAATTTTCACTCCTTTTCAGGTTTAACTGATTTGAAATAATGGGTGAAGCCAGACTAAGCTTTGAACAAAGAAAATTTATCCTAAAGTGGTACTAGATTTTTTTTTATGAGGATTCATAAAAGATAAAAGTTTACGGTACAAAACCGGCAATAGTCGACAAATTGAGGGCATGCAAATGTGGAACAAAATGATTCTTGGTGTTTGCGATTTCATTGCTTCATGTTACCAACAAGGCCTGGACCAGAACCGTCATCAGTTTGAAAACAGGCATTGACAAAACAATGATTCATTTCTGTAGATTCTTTTAAATTTTGAAAATGAACTGTATGCTTAAATAAACGCTGACTTTATAATCATTCAAAGTGCATATATATATTTGGGGACCTTCTATATAAGAAAATTTAGCCAAAGTTAAAAAATATGGCAATAGGTTGTTCAACCTAGGAACATGGTGGTGAGGAACCCCTAGGCCTGAGCGTCTTGCTGTGGAAACATGGGTTTGTGGGCAGGCGGTGTGGCTGTGTGGGCAGGGGCCCTGTTATACACTGGAAACCACATGCCAATTGGACACAGGGCACATCTGGGGACCCGAGGGGGTGGGTAGAAATTTCTTTGGGGGATAGTTTTACATCTTAATCTACTTGCTACTACATCAGATTTTAAAAACCAGTACATTCCACTAACTGAGTACTGTGATAAAAAGTTAATGAGTTTTTGCCCAGCTGGTGTGGCCCACTCCGTGGTTGAGTGTCAACCTAGGAACCAAGAGGTCACAGTTCAATTCCCAGTCAGGGCACATGCCTGGGTTGCGGGCCTGATCCCGGCTAGGGGGCGTGCAGGAGGCAGCCGATCAATGTATCAGTCTCACATATACATTTCTATCTTCCTCTCCCTTCCCCTCTCTCTCAAAGTCAATAAAAACATATTTTAAAAAATTAGTAAGTTTTAGCCAAATGGTCCTGGGTTCAAATCTCAGTGCCCCCACACATCAGGTGCGGGGCCCACTGAGCACCAAACCTCCCCATCTGGTGTCCATAGCTGTGAGTGGGAGTGGAAGAGCATAAGGCCGCAGCCACCACACGGCGCCGAGGGCAGCGAGTGCAGGTGCGGGAAGTGCTCAGGCGCAGCAGGGCAACTCAAGACCTTCGAGGGCGCAAGTAGACTCCAATACCGAGCCACTCTTCTCAGAACACCCACTCCAGCTGCTGGCCCAAAGGGGCTTGGGGACAGGGTAGAAACGCGATCCCACGGGAGGTTGTTTCCCAGGGAGAAGGGTCTCAGCTCTGCAGAGCTGCCCTCCAGTCAGTGGGGCCCAGTCCTCCGTGGTACCCCAAGTGCCCCGGCGCCCCCTCAGACCTGCGCGTGGCTCTGGTCGGCCTCCCGGCGCTTGAACTGGCGGCTGAGCAGCAGGGCGCGCAGCTGGCGGTTCTGGTGCTTGATGTAGTGCTCCACGGCCGCCTGGCACGGCCTGCACAGCTTGTAGATCTGCTCCAGGTGGTGCCGGTACACCTCGACCTCCTCGTCGTACCTGCCCTGCGGGGCAGGAGGCGGGGGCTCGGGCCTCGGGTCGACTGAGGCTGCCGGGCTAGCAGGGGACCTGGGCTCACTTACAAGAGGGCTGACCATGGGCAAGTTGTCCCCACTCTGATCCTCCTCCCTCTGCTGCCCAACAGGACACACAGTACACTGAGTACGGTGATGAAGGGCTGGCCCAGGGCACAGCAGGGACCCAATAGGTGACTCTGGACAAGTTCTATCGCTCCAGAGGATGCCCTGGAGGCCATCCCTCAACGTGGTCTCTGCTTCAGGCCCTGCTTCTGGACTCAAGCTCCAGGAAGGCAGTGAGCCACGGGAGAAGGTGGCTCTGGGCTGATGCTACCTGGACTTGAGCAGATGGACATCCCAGAGGCAGGGCCTCTCCTCCTGCAAACCCTGCATCTAGAAAGCACTGGCTGGGCTCAGTGGGAGCTACAGGGTCCTTGGGGCTTCAGAATAGCCTGGAAGACCACGTCCAACCCCTCCCCTCCTCCTAAGGATGCAGCAACGCTCCTCTCCCTCCGTTTCCAGGGCGCCTGAACATCTCAGTCTGCAGGGGCCGGCAGGGTTACCAGTTTGACTTTATCTTGCTGGGACCAAACTCACCAAAAAGCTTCCCTGGTTGCCAAGTCACATATGCCTCCTTCTTTCTGCAGATCCCCCACCTCCCCCCGCCTGGCTTCCTTGTTTCCCTCCCTCC